ATTTTCGCAATTCTGTCACCAATTGTCTCGCAAAGGTGTCCGTTTTGGACGACGGGCACATCCGGTAAATCAGAAGCTTTTTTCACCACTGCGCAAATGTTGCCACGGAATACTGAGACTACAGCCAGCTATGAACCAGGCTACACAGGATCGCGTGCTGCTTATGAGACTTCCTGTACATGACAGTCTGCGTCTGTGTGAAATTATCGCGGCTATTGAATGGTCATGGGAGAGCAAACTATGCTCAGGGGTGAAATAAATATAATTATGGAGCGCACTGCCACGTGAATGAAACACGAATATTCATCAGCTGTACAGTTAACGTTATTCCGACTGAAACAGAAGACCTCACAGATACATATGATGCTCGCACTACGGTTTGGCTATTCATAATTTTACCCGCATGCCACTTTGACGTTAAACAACGTCTCAAGAACGCGACATACGTGGCTCGATACCTATGGTGACCAAGCAGACATGAAGGGACAGAGCACATCGACACGCGCACAGATACGGACCGAACACGGCCGGCCTCGCAGACAGGTGTAGACCGAGCTCGCCGGAGTAGGTGCGGACTAAGGACGGCCGGCTTCGCAAGCAGGTTAAGCCCCAGCACGGCGAAACGTAGATAAACGCGAACCGAGCAAGGCACATCTGGCGATCTGGTGAATCTAGAGCAAAATGATTAACTGCAGCGGACAGCAGAAGCAGACTCACCACGCTCGCCAATCACTCGCACCACCGGCGTAGGCACGACCACGGGTTGCAGGATCGGGTGAGATCGAAGTGCATTATAATGGCTTACCGCTGAATAGGTTGCCACGAACGTCATGCTTATCGCTAATGTTTATGTACTCGCCTCGCTGGTCATATACATCTGCCACTAACAGAATGTTCGTTATCGGAACGAAGACAGCCATATGCTCCCGCCGGCATGTTGCGAATGAGTATCATGTGCATGTCTTCACTTTTTATGACGTCGTATTTTGATGGTTTGCCACGCAGGTTTGCAAAGAAAATCATCGCGGTCTTCACAAAATGCTACGTCATGGGCTCGCTGATCATACGCGCCTTCTGCGAACAGCCTTTTCGTTTCCTGCACGAATATTCGATGTTCCGACTGCCCCTCAGCGCTACCTCCCGCGCCCAATGGGCCGCCGCCCACTGAAGCCTCGGCACCATCGACGTCACACTAACGTGAAGCGAGAATGAAGCAAGAGTCACACCACTGTTTTGCCTCTCTCATATGACCTTGCTACCACCCCACTGCCAACGCGCAGATCTCAACTCCCGTAGTCAATCATGGAACGAAATCATAACAATGTGCGCTGTTGCTAAAATTGGCTCGGATCGACGGCTGCCTTCGCCATAGCCGAAGGTGTACAAAAAGGAAAATTTAACTGGTGCAGAGTATTTTGCTGACAGGACGAAACATCAGCACGAAGTCATAAAGTCTAACGCACGCCCGACGCAGCGCTTAATCAAGCACAAAGAGAGCTCAAACTTCCTCCCAGGGTCGGAAAACAATTCGCACGGCTGCCACATTGCCAGGCAGCGTTCGCGACTAAGCACGGCAAATGAGGTCATAACTATGTTACGGTACTACATATACCAATGCCTTTGAGCACCACGCATTAGGCATCGCGCTGCAGGGCTGGAGCCGCATTTTAAGAATTATACATTTGAAAATCGATACAAAAATGAAATAGAAAATTGAAATCGCTGCGGAAATCTCATCGGATTTCATTCACTTCTACTTAAAGTCACAACCTCCCAATTACTGCGCAAATGCATCAACAAGATAATTCTTAACGAGACACACAACACAAAAAATAACTTCACACAAAACAGAAAGCGATGAACAATTCTGAGCGCGAAGTGAAGTAAGAGCTACCAGTCATACATACCACGTAGTGACGGTACCATAATATCCATAAAACACAAGTATGAACACCTTTTAACAAATAACCTGCATGGTCTTACATTCTGAGCAGTATTACACTGAGGCAGCCACGTTTATATTCCTGGGTCATCCGGGACATATCAGTATAATATTTTGAACACTTGAAGCACTATAAGTACTGTGATGAAGCATCATGAGCATGCAACAAAATTAAATGTAACTTTGAACAAAATTATACTTGCAAGATTCCTGCTCTCAGCAACACAACATTCTACATATGCTACCAGTCTGGTTGAGAGACCAGGCAGCTTTAATGATGGCAAACATCGTGTATCAGCAGTCAGGTGTTTCTTCTTAGCGCACCGAAGACATCTGTTCTACAAGGTAAAATTGGCATAAAAAGATTTTGAATCAAAGCGCACGGAAAAAGTTGTGCTGTCTTAGGATTAAATTTATCGGTGTACTCATATTTGCAAACCGAAGCTTGTTAATGACACAGATCAGCAGGAAACTGGTGACGTGAAATGGCAGAGGGAGTTGGTACCATGGTCACAACTAGTGTCCATCGTAGGCATAACTGATAGTGACAGCCAGACAGCAAAAAAATGTCCCACAAACACGTCAGGCACAGCAATAACAATACAGATGCACTTTCAGAGCATAGACATCATAAATAAAATTGCTCAAAGTTAGAGGTAATCAGCACGGAGTTCAGCGCATGAAGATGTTGAATTTAAACACCTATTGATAAGACTTGACATTCATTAACAACTAAATAATTCAATTTCCTTGCTGTATGTTGCCCAAAGAAATCCCAAAAATTGGGTTTGCACAAATGACTGTCTTTCAAGATGTGAAAAGTCTGCAAGTGGTCTGTGTCTAAGTCTATGTCTAAGTCTCAGTCTATGGTCCTTCCGGAGTCGCCGCTTGCTGCTACTCCATTGTCTGTTTCCCAAAGTATGTGTTTGTCTTAATGCGAAGGTAACTAACTGACCGTTCTTTCTTATCTTTCTTTATTTTCACCAGTGTTTACATTGCAACACTCAACTGGAGCAAGTTGCATGCATCACCAGCTGTGTCACAAGGTAGTCGGCCAGGTGCTGTCGGTTCGTGATGTGGCCCATGCACCGCGCTTGCGGCCCCTGCATGTTAGGAGGCAGCAGTGCACCTACGTCGGCCTCCTCTACGGGATTTGCTTCGTGGGGTTCTGCATGCACTACAGCATCCCCTGCCACGACGTGTTGAAATGGCGCTAGGTGGGGCTGAGGTGACCGTTGTCTCGGTGATCGGTGATGGTCTCAGCGGATAAGTGGAAGCCCCTGTCCCGATGAGGTGCGTGTTGTTTGGGAGAAGCTCCCGCCGATGCTCCCTGAAGTCGTAGCAGAGGGGGCTTCTCCGGAGGACCCGAGAATCGTGGGCTGGTCCCGGGAACCCTACAAACACATCAGTGCACGCGCCGCATAGAGTTCAAGACAGCCAGCACATGTACAGCGTGGCGATGCGCATACATCTTATAAGCAGCCGCTGTCTCCTTGCTGGACGCATCCATGAGGACACAGGACCCGTCGATGGTCACAACTACACCCGGGAAACCGGCGCACGCCGCAAAGCCTACGACGGTTTCATTCAGCCGCTCTCATGTTGGCCAAGCGATGGCGTCACCGCACGCGGCAGTGACACATTTGCAAAATGTTGTCCTCGGTTTCGATCCTCGGCTGCCGCCGGTTCCTTTACACGTCAAGCTATTCGTTCAATACACTTTCCGACTATTCTACTCGCCTACCGAGCGGTGGGACACTGCCTCGACGAGGCATTGCAGCGCGGACATGACGCCTGCCAACGGACGCTTCTGGCTGTATCCGCGTCGGCCATGATTGTCATAATAGGGGGACAGCTTTGCCTGGAGATTTCGACATACTTGGCGCGAGATACGAAAATGCAATTTGAAGTATTCGTTATTATATCCTGAGACCACGTCGCGTACGTAATCTCCTGCTTTGTTCGCGCGACGTTCACGAGGTGGCTGAGCAAGAACCGCCGCGCCGGCAATCGCACTATTGTCCTGCAACAAGATTAGTTTGTCAAGACAGCATGATTTCCGGAAAACTTTATTATGCATTTCATGCTCTGGAATGCAAATATACTGCATAATGTGACGTCATATGTTTCCATGGATGTCGGTCGTCTGTGTATCTATATGTATAACTCACCTTCACGCCACGTGTCACAACGTGCGCTTTCTCCCTGCGCATGCGCTCCTAGCAAGGGCTCAAACTTGCCAAATCGAAGCAGCACTTTGCTTCGTAATAGTTCCCGAACAATATTCATCGTACCAGTGTGCGAGCGGATCAACGGAGCCTTTGCACCGTCCTACTGAGTCCCTCCCCCCCCCCCCCCCCCCCCCCCTCCTTGTTACGGTTCGGTTACGCGTCGTCAAGATCAGGGTGCGGCCAGGATTTTCTGGAGAGTGGGGCCCTGACCTCGGTGAGAACATACATGCGTAACATAATATATCGACGACTTCAAAATGGATGTATTATGACCTTAATTGGCATAAGGTGTTGTGTTACCAGTGCCGGTGAAACTTCGTGTTTGTGGCAGGATCGACGCTATGTCGTCACTGGCGCGCAATGCTGAGTCATTAATGTAACACTTTCTAAGTCGAGGGCGATGATCTGCCTTCCTCCGCCTCTGATACTCTCGTAAGGTTGTATCAATTATGGTATAGGCGGCTGCTGTAAAAGGTACACCTCAGGCATTTGCATTTTACTGTCCCGACTCGTGGGTATCATCTCCGCTGCACCTCAAATATATTTGGTGAGAAACAGCTGGTTATACCAGCCACCATATTTGGAGTTACTTGAAGCGTTTTCCATGCGCAGATTACGTAGCTTTGTGACGTCATAGTCTGCCACCTGACGGGTTGGAGCATCTGGCAGCATTTTCCAGTGAGGAATGGGGCCCTTATGGACCCCGCGCCAGATTTAACGAACCGACACAATATTTTCTTACCGTTCCAGTGCACTCTATCGATGCCACCCACCTGAAGCCATAGGCCCGCGCAGGCCGAGTCAAGCGAGGAAATCAGGGAAGCTACGACGCGTCTTCTCCCGGTAGCGGCTGGCCCGGCCGTCGAGACGGTGCCGGCCGCTGGTCGCCGACATGTCGGTCGACCACCGAAGCAGCGACTGGTGAGCGCCACACTCCGGCTGGCGGCCAGCTGCAGCTGCGACGCTGGAGTGATGCCCGGCTTCCCCGGGGTGGACCGTCCGCCCGGGCGCAAACCCTGCCGCCGCCCCTGGGCCGTTGACAGGTCGCGGGGCGCCCGCGGCTAGCCGGGCCCGGCGGTGCGATGACCTTTCGGCTGCCGACCCGGAAAAACCAGGGTTAGCAGTCGGGACAAAGCCTCATGGACGTCCAATTGCATCCGTAGATTGATTGCGGATGCTTCGGACACCTTCATTCAACCGCTTAGATCTTCCACTCCTTTGTATTTACGATTTGAATGGTCTGCTAATTATTTACCTCAGTCTTTTAGTGAGTTAAGTTTGGACTTACTGGAGCTAGCGATCTATTTGAACTCATTTCTGAGCTTTGCAAATGTCGCGGTTTGGCCCGTATTTAGGTATTTGATGGCACCAAGCATATCCGGATACTCACGAGACTGGCGACGTCTTTTATTAGGGCTTTGGGCTCCATTTTCATCGATTTGGTGGGTTGTTTACCGCATGAGCCCCGGGGGGGCTGTTGAGCGTTTTCACTTTTGATTGACATCTTCTGGCCACCGCTGCACCAGCTGGAAATCACCACTATTCACTGAAGCAGTCCTCCAACACTGACTGGCAAGTAACACGTGGTCCTGCATCACTCGAACCCTCCTCCCTCACTTTTTCCGGCAGGGACCAGCGCAGTGCTGTCGGCACGCATCCGACCACGGCGAAGGTCAGGGCCCTACCGAGGAACATGCCCTTTTAAAGAAACCCTGCTTGACCTAATTTGACCCGGAAATAAAGGCCTGTAAACCAGGTATTTGACACACATGAGTTCACATGAAGCCCTACCTACCCCGTGAATTTGGTGCCACAAACTGTCCTAGTTTTTGGGACATCAAGGATGTCAACTCTCCCCCCCCCCCCCCCCCCACACTCCTATCCAAGCGTGTCGCATTCAACCGGGCGCCCGGGCGCAGGTTAAAGTAGTAAAAGTCAAAATCCGCAGATGACAACGCACTAAGAACCGCCCAAAGGAATTTGTTGCTTTCACCCAATGACAGTGGATGGTGTTAATCAAGCAGGTCACAGGAGCCTTTACATGGTCAGTTTCGCGGCGAGTCCTGAACTAGGTCTCCAAGGAGCCAACTCAGCTAAGCAAAGCTTGTAATTTGCAACGCATGGAGTGTGGTGGTGATTAACTGTCATAAAGCAAGGTTATATAGAAATATTTAGCGTTGAAATATAACAAGATACTGTGGTGCGGGTGAAGTAAATTGTGATTGCAATCAGTAGCAATAGTGCACCCATTATTTCAAAGGTTCCAGATACGCTTATTATGCTGGCTGTGTTCACAGATGACAAATTTCTTACTGACGATATGCTGGATAATAGTTTGGATCCTAGAATAGCATTGCTACTGGGCCACTAGTGAGCTATGTTGTTTAATAGCTTAGAACCATATTAAAGTTTCGATAAGATACGGCTACAGCTTGAAACGGCTGGTATATATATGTTATTTGCCTGCAACTATTGCGGTCGGTTCTTACAGCGGACATATTATTCGAACATGTACGAAGCCGTACTGTTGTTTTTCGGCAGCTTCAGCTCCGATGAAACGGAATTACCTGGCCGCTTTTGTTCGCCATCTGGCGAACAATATTACCAAACTACAAAGCGGCTAGGCAGCTGTGAATCATCAAAGCTAGAGTACTTACTAGAAAAAACGGCATGCCACAAGCATAATATTTCCGGCTAAAGAGCCTCCTGCATGTGAAACGTTATAAAAGCTACAAAAGCTTAACACTTGAAGTTATAATCATGAGAGTTATAAAGTTATTAAAAACTTAATTATAACATGTCATCTACATTTAACCGTTGGGATTTACCAATGCCTGTTTATTTAGCGTTTCCTGCCCTTTAATGCTGGGATCGGGGCTATGTGGCTTTTGTACATTCTATGCTGAAAAGACAGATTTTTGCAAAATTGCTTATAGTAGAGGGACATAATTGCACAATGTATGAAACTGCATTTCGACTGAATTGATTCCTCGTAGCGGTTTTTAAGTACGCAATAGCCCCAACTTTTAAGGTTCTTTATTTCAGTAGCATTTTTATGACGTTCATGCATATTTCCGCTGCCTGTTTTATTCGAGCTGTTTTGGCTGTTTTTAATTTCAGCCGTATCGCTTGAGTTTCCGAAAGCCGACTGACATGCGAAATCCATGTTATGCATCGTGTTTGGTATGGCGTGACCAACAGCACACCATTATTGCATGTGTTCGACTATAATTACACCCTTTTGTTTAAGTCTAACTGTTTTGGTCCGATTTAGGTACGATCCTCAGCTGCCGCGTGTTCCTTCGAACTATTCGTCGTGCGGGTGTGTAAATTACACGATATATGAGTTAGCCAATCCAACCGCTGCACCCTAAAATACGTGGCCAAATCTTTCAAAAATTTGTTCCGAATGATTTGCATAGGTAACTTCGGGTTCAGAGAGCCCGCTAAGTATAGTTTGTTGCGTGTACCCTGAACCCACCACCCAAGTCGTGCCGCCCAGTTCAACGGATAATTCCGCCTCCGCCCTTCTGCAAGACAGGTCTGCGGAGGTTTTTACGTGCCGCACAACGCTGCGGTACGGCCGCTCCGGGCTTAGGTTGACTCTCGTCGGCCAGTGGCCAGCAGACCTTTCCATTTTAGTCGGGTCGAGCAAGGCGCCCACTCTGGGACCCGTACCCAGAGCCGCTGGATTACGAGCCCAGTATATTTTCCCTAGACCACGGAGGTGGCAGATGCACACCAAAACTATTTAAATCAGCACCAGCACAATGATTGTATTCTTTTTCTCAGTTGAATTGTTTCCGTTCATTTAAGCTACGGCTCTCGGCTGCCGAATGTCCAGCGACATGTCTGAATATTCGCTGCGCGGAGGGCCGTTGGAATGAACTGGTGGCCTCATTACCAGTGCGTTGTCTGCAACGCATGATGGCTGTATTTGGCATCGACACCAACGGAGAATTTCGAGGTGGTGGACATTTTAAGCGATTGCGACGGAAGGGGAAGCGCAGGGCCCTACCAATGCGAGGCAGCAAGAGAGCGGGCGGGCCTTGCGCCGTCGCTGGCGACGCCATGCCCGAGATCTGGTTCAGGAACACGCTTGAGACAGAGCTCTGGAAGATGGGTAAGCCGGTCCGGCAAAACATGCAACGGGGCTTTGAGGCAATACTACTGGACTGTGAGAAAAAGAGGTCGGGCCGACCCAATTGAAACAAGACTTCCAGAAAGTCTACTAGGAGGAGTCTGCCGGGGGAGTCCCGACGAGGAGCGCAGAGGAGAAGGGCGGCGACAACCTGTCGGCGACATCTGGCCGCGGACTACGGAACACCGGCGACAACACGCATGTGTGAGTCCACAGCCTGTTGTCCCCCTCCCCCCCCCCCTTATTCTTACCGGGCCGTGGACGGCTTGCGCTCCAAACGTGTCCCTTGACCCCTCTCCACCGGGCGGACGCGGGCTTCTACGGCACCTGTCCCCTCCCCACCCCCCGCCTGGTTGTGGAAAAGGAGGGAGCACTGGCCATGTGACCCTCGCACTGGCCATGTGACCCTCGCGGCCCGGTACTATGCCTTGGGCGTACTCCCATGACTGAGGGGTGGGGGATGATGCCTCACGTGGTTTGGCGCTGGACCCGCATGAAGCGACAAACTGGTGCATCAATATGTGGAACGATTTTTTTGTAAGTACAGGTGGCGTTCTGCGTTCAACAGTGGAAGCGAGGCTGGGGGTGATCTGGCCGGGCAGCGAAAAGACACTCGCGCTCGGCGTGTGATGGCATGATGTCCGAGGCTGTTGGCGCGCACTTCGGCGCGGCGGCGCGCTCGTTGGCCCGCGCTGAGGCTGTCTTGCTTTTTGCCATTGGAGGCGGGCACACGGAGGCGTAGCGGCTCATCGTGGCCCTCGCCTGTCCCGCGTCGCGGCTTGGCGCGGCTTACGGGCCACGCCTGTATATTCCTGAAGGTCTCCTCTGACTGAGGCGCTATCCTGTTTGCTCGTTGAGCGCTTTGTCTTTTTAGGTTCCCTGAAGTTTTCTGGTAGCTCGAGGCGGCCGGACCCCCACAGAGCCTCGTCCAGCGCGCTTGCGCAGATTCCCTCACGACCACGTTTTCTCCCATTCGTTATTGATTGCTTCGTCTAGGCCGATTAGCTGGTTGGTCTCCTACGACGTTCGTGCATGTCTAGGCTCTCCTTCCGCTTAGTTGATGGTGATCGTAACCGATGGGTGATAGCGCGGAGCGCGGCCGACCAGTACGGCTCAGCTACGGCCAGGATCGAGGAGCCAGATGACCGCGGTCCTGCTTTTTTACGCAGATGAATGTTTGTGGGTAGCGTGCTGCGAAGGCACAGTTTCGCTCTTTTTTGGACTAAGAAACGGTCGACTTATTTCGTTGCCTCTCGCTTGACCCCGGGCGTGGCATGAAGAGGCATAGGTCATGGTGTGACCAAGGACCAGTGAGGACCGCACGGGATGCCGGGTTATGCACGGCGGTAGCTGGGTCTATCCGTTGGTGTGCAATGCCTTGGGAGAGAACAGGACACAGTCTGTTCTCTTCCGACGCGGTGTGCGCCCGGCCTTATGAACTCGTGATGGCGGAATGTTGGGGACGAATAAAGAACCCGCCATTGACGCTTATAGAGAGGGCGGCAAAGGATCGGGTCGCCGGACAGCTGGTCAGGGTAGCCGAGTTTCCACAGTGCTCCGGCCGCGGAGACCGCAAGGCATGAACGCAGGTCATGCTGGGCGCTCGTTGTCTGCCGAAGGGCTCCACCGTCCCATCGTGCGCGCTGCCCACCTCCAGTCCCCTGAAGGACGCGCCGTGGGGCGGTACTTTGTAGAGCGCACTCCGGCAGGCGGGTGGCGAGGGTACGGAAGCGCCGGAAGCAACGTATCCGTG